ACTGTTTTTTTTGGGTCAGGATGAAAAGTGACAATAACAAACACATTATGTCTCTCACGTAACAATCCTGATACTGGTTAAGAATGTACTACAGTGGGTCTGGTGAGAAGGAAATCCCAATGAGAGTAGGGGAGGAGAGTCGAGTATCAGGGGCTGGAACTAAACGGACTGGGACTTTGTCACAGTTTTGTTGAGAGTAAAGAGAACCAATCAACAGCTGTCTAACTGAACCAAAGGCCCACACAATGGTGGGGTGGGGTGCCTAGTAGTGAACACCTGCCCAGATTCCTGGGAATAATGAGCTCATGGCCACTGATAAAAAATCAACTACAATCATTTTGCTAGACCAGCGTAATTCCTTACTACATTCTAAATCTTATCCTTAGACCCACAGATAACTGTAGCTATCAGCCCTCACAAGAAGCTGATCTTTACAGCTTCACAGAAAACTACAAACAGAAACAATGCATAGAGCAATTGATTATGGGGATACATAACTATCCCAACTCCTGCACATGTGACTTGGGGAACACTGAAGAAGCACTGTGAAAAGCCAGAACACCAGGAAGTCTACTGTGAAACAGTCTCTCCTAGGAATGACTGGAAAGATGAGAGTATCATTGGACTTATCAAGGTGGAAGGAGGAATATTTCAATGGGTTCCCACCACTAGACAAAGAACTACAGAAGGATTGACTGCTGGGAGAATTAGCCTCCCCCAGAGATGAGCCTTCTTATTGGTTGTCCAGTGCAGAGTGGTCATCCCTGGAACCACATACACACAAATAACAAAAGCGGATTCAGCAGGTTGTATTTATTTATTTGCATACACATATGTGTGCATATGTACATAACAATAATAATTAAAAAAAGAGCTGAGAGAGGAGGGGCATGGAGGAGTTGGGAGGGAGGGCCCCTAGCAGGGGCTGTGAGGAGGGGAGGGGAAAATGATGGAATTCTATTTCAACTAAGAACATTAAAAAAATGAAGATGAGGAAGGGGGAGGTAGAATATACGTATATAGTAATTTGAGAGAAGGCTGAGGTAACTTTCATGTCAAATCACCTCTGTTGCAGTCAGGCCAAGGGTATCTGGCCCAACCTGGAAAGGTCTAAGGCCTCAGGACTGTCAGAAATTCTCTAGTTCCACTCTGCTCCGTATCCTGACCCACACTTGTGATTCTCCCACGCCCATTTTCTTCACTTATTTTATACATTTGTTTTTCACTCTCTCACTAATCACCAATGGGACTAGCTAAGCTGGGGGGCAGATTCCATGTCTGGTTTTGCTCATAACATAACTTTACTTTTTTTTTTTCACTTGACTGACCAATGGGACACAAGTCTAAGCTCCCACAGCAAGAACGAGTCCTTACTCGCTCTTTACTCACGAATCACTGCACAGTAGTTTTTGTGCAGTTTAGTCAGATATAACTTCATATAAACTCTTCATATAAAGTTAAGTCAACATCTAAAACCACAAGGTACCACAATGTGACTTAATCTTTCTCTGTTCCTGACTTTCCTACTTGGCTGCTTTTCTCAATTTTACCCCCATTCCAAATCACTGTAAAACTGTACTGCCTATATTACTAAATGTGAAGAACCCTAACAGAAGAAACAGACCCCATATATGACTACACATCAAAGCAGCCCATGAAAGTCTAGTGATGCTGCTTTGTGGTTCTATTTATGTTATCAAAACAAACAAACAAACAAACAAACAAGGGAATACTTTGCAAATAGGATTATTTCTCCTAAAGGCTCAATAAAAAAAATATACAGGACAGAGAAATCCAAAACTCCAAGAGTTACTAACAACCCTCATTCATTATGTGCTATAGAATCCTCAGATCTCGGGCACCAAGCCGAACACCTGATCCCATCATTTATCATTCAGGGTTCTCTGTGGATGAGAAAGTCCACATTTGAGGTTACCATTTTATTTTCATCAAAATTCTATCACTTCAACTCTCAGTAAAGGGGCCAGGCCATTGCCAAAGGACTGTTTATACCAGAATGATTTGTATAGTTTGTTATTTACCTCTTTAAGCTGTCAACTACTATTTCAACAGGTTACTGCTAAGGCTATCAGCTGCTCTCCACAAACTGACAGTAAAGCTTAATTGCTTAGTACAGTATTTACAGACCTCCTTCAATATAGAGAAGCGGTGCCTGGGGGAAACTCCTGTTCTGTTAAAAGAACAAAGCAATAAAACGACTCCAAATAACACTGTCATACTAATCAGCACCTCAATTAGTCATCATCAGAAAAGCTTCTTACAGTAGATCAGAACTAACAAAGACCCACAACTGGACAGTGTGCCGAGAGTGAAATTTTGGAGCGTTCAATCCTAAATGGGAAGCCTTTGCCAGTCTCTCCCCTCAGGGCTCAGGGACCTATGCAAAAAGACTGCAAGAGCCAGAGACGATGGAGGACACCAAGGAAACTGTCAGTGGACACAGCAGGACTGATGCACATTCACTCAGGGACTGTGGAAGCACACACAGGGCCTGGACAGGTTCAAATCACACCCGGCACTGAGAGGACTAAGTGGACACAAGCTCCCACTCCTAACCAAGAAGCTAGCTACGATAGGCACCCGTCGGCAAAGGAAAAATTAGTCTCCTCCATTGGAGTCTCACTGAGTATATTATCCAGAATAGGCAGGCCCCATGCTCAGCAGATGAACAACACAAAACAAATTAAATGGTATTTTTTTAGACTTTTTGTCTAATATTGCTTTGTTTAGAAATTTTTTTGTGTGTGTTATTAGTCTTTTGCTTGTCTGCTTTGGTTTCTGATTTTGGGTTTTTGTGGATTATTGTGTGTGTGTGTGTGTGTGTGTGTGTGTGTGTGAGAGAGAGAGAGAGAGAGAGAGAGAGAGAGACAGACAGACAGACAGAGGGAGTGTGACAGTAGAGAGAGAAAGAGAGAGACAGACAGACAGACAGAGGGAGTGTGACAGTAGAGAGAGAGAGAGAGAGACAGACAGACAGACAGACAGACAGAGGGAGTGTGAGAGTGTTTCTTGGTCTTTTGTTCTATTGTTTTTGCTTTGTTTTGTTTTGGATTTTCGAGACAATTTCTGTTTTTCTATATAACAGAGCCCTGGCTGTCCTGGACTGGCTTCGTAGACATTTGTGCTTTTATGTTATCTCTTATAATTGGCCATTTCTGCTGGAAAGACCCAAATATAAAAATGCAAATATTAGGATCAGTGAAACAAAGCAGCCTGTGGACCATACACAGGTCTGTGCAGGTACAACAGGAAACGGAGAGCGGTGTTTGATTGCTCACTCCAGTGTGCACTCCTTACAGGCTTTTTTTCCAGAAACACCCACAGTCCCACCATTCTTCACTACCTCCATTGCAAATCACACTACTTTTGAAGCCTAAGTCTTACAGGTGACGTGTGTGTGTGTGTGTGTGTGTGTGTGTGTGTGTGTGTGCGCGCACACACCTATGGGCAGGACAGCCTTCTAACTGACCCGGTGTTCTTAGATTCTGCCAAGCATATTCCAGGGTCAAAGTCTCTGGACTTGCTATTCTGTCTAGAAAGTATTCCTACAGAGTTCAATCGCTTAAGGCTTCTGTTAAAACCACACAGAGGCTGACATGACACCATATGAAGTATCCCTGTCCCTGCCTACAATCTGCACCTTTTCATGCCATTCATCACCAATAACTACTGAATTTATTTAAGTTTCCCTTCCTAGAATGTAAACTCCTAAGGATCAGAGAATTATTTTGAGAATTCTTGTACCATCTGTATTGAGCACTGTACCTGACACATAGTAGGCATTCAATACATGTTTTCAATGACAGTTAATTATTAATTGTTCAAATTAAATACAAGGCAAGGACAAATTAACCACAGACGACATTCATAGTTAACTGCTAACTGAACAGCGTGAACCAGTTAACATCCAGGAGTATCCATCAATACCACCAGACAGCTTTTCCACAGTGTAGGTAACCAGACCTGACCACAAGACCCATCAGATCAGTGTGTTCAAACCGCTTTCAGTAAAATTCTGTGTTTAAAACTGTGATTCAATCTGTCCATTCAGGAGGAGGCAAGGGGGGGAAGGTGTGTGGGGGGAGCTCAACGGAAGCTATGAAGAAAGGCATTGCTGTTCTATGAGAAACTGACCAGCTTTGAATTTGAATTCAGATCCACTACTCAGCAGCTGTGAGCCAGAGTAAGTGAAACTTACTTTTCACACATGTAAAATTAGAATAATCCAAATACTCTTTCCCCTATAACCACTGCAAACTGCTTCAGGATTACTGAAAAGCTAAAACGCCCTCAGTACATACAGCATCTGGTTTAGAACATAAGACAGACAGTAAACTGAGGCTACTGGGATTCAGTTCCACTGAATAAGAAAATAAAATTGTATTAACAGAAAGTATGTATACTCATACAAGTGGTTACAAAAACATCTTTCCCTCTGTAAGGCAGGAGACAGTGAATTCATCAGCTATGGCAATATTACAGCACTCTCAAACTTGAGGATACTTCAGAAGCACCAAGGTAGCCCCTCAAAAGGCAGATGCTGGGCACAGGAAATGCTCAGGAAGTAGGCTGTGGACAACGCATTCTACTAGATCCTCAGGGCGTGCCGACAATGGTGTGACTGGAGAAGGAATCAGTCATAAGCACGATCCAACTCCTTCAGGGCCATTTTTGAAATTACTAAAAGCCTGAAAAACTTCACTTTTTGCAAATTCATAACCAATTAAATCCTTTTTCTTTTAAGAATGTTTTACAATCTGGTTTTAAAAGTCAACATGTATTAAGATTCACCTGATAGGAAATTTTCATGCTATTAACAGCCCAGTGACAAATATTCTGAAAATTAACTTGAAAGTAATTAAGACTACTTTCTAAAATGTAAAAATCCAGACAAAACCAGAGGACAACAGCTTTAAAGGAACAAAGGCAGAGGTAAATTTTGGTTTCACAGAGAAAGCAGATGACCCAGAAATACGTACATGTATGGAGGCATTCTGTCACTGTGGTGGGCTTGATCAGATATCCTTTACAGATGTAGCAGGTGATGTAAGGGTTGAAATCTTTCACCAAGTGTTTCCTTTGGGTAGCCATTCGTGGTCAACTGGCTTTAGCAGTTCAAGCCAAGAGGGGCACTAAGGGGATACAAAGCTGGTCCCAGGAGCTGACTCGATGTTCCCGCAGGGGTCCTGAGGCATGGGCACGCGCTCCGGCCTGAGTCCAGGCCACTGAGCATTACTCCTCTTGGCAGTCCTGCTTTTGCATACCTGTTTCCAAAATTACAGAGAGAAGGCATCAACTTCCTTATACCACATTTACTAACATTAACTGTACATCAAGGTTGAAATTTGGTGAGCAGGACACAACCTTTATTGTACAATTAACCTGTAAATCTCTTATAATTTAATTGAGAGTAGCCAGGCGGTGGTGGCACATGCCTTTAATCCCAGCACTTGGGAGGCAGAGGCAGGTAGATTTCTGAGTTCGAGCCCAGCCTGGTCTACAGAGTAAGTTCCAGGACAGCCAGGGCTACACAGAGAAACCCTGTCTTGAAAAACAAAAAACAAACAAACAAACAAATTTAATTGAGAGTAAAATCCACCCAGTTCTGAAGCTCCGGTTGTCACCGAAGCTCACGGCACCCGAAGCTGCTGAATCTAGCTAATATTGTTCCTCAGCAGAACTGGGCTTTCACGACCTGCTTGACTTTCTACCAGGAGTCTCTGGCAATACAAGCGACAAAGACTCACAACTGAAGTCATTAGCCCCTATCAAAGTGTCTCTATTTCCATTTTGAACTCTTCATCCAGTTAATAGTCAAATCAACTTGATGTGCATTTTCTTTCCTCAAATAGACACCTTCCAGGCAGGGCATCTTATATTCTGCTATCTAGCTTATTCTACCTTTAATTTAGTACTTCTCAAACAGAAAAAAAAGTTAGGGCTTCCTCTTTGCAAACAGAAAATGTAAGTTTTTTTTAGTGTGTCCCATTCGATGTAAACCACATTCCTAATTCAATTCCAAACTGACTCCAACCTTTCCATCAACACTTCAGGTACACTGACAGGATCACTCCTCTCCCACTATGGACTCTGCAGGCTCCTATCTTCTGCCCAACATACCTTTCCTCTTGACAATTGTACCTTGCTTGTCCCTGTGACTCCCTCTCCAATGCTGTCCTCACTGTAATCCCTATTTGTTAATGCTTACCTCTCCCCAATTACATCTTTCTTTCATTTGATTTTGCATTCATTCATTCATTCATTCATTCTTGCTTCCCTGCTTTCCGAGGCTGGGTTTCCTATAGCCCAGGCTGGCATAGAACTCCTGATTTAGACGGGGTGACCTTCAATTTTTAATCCTCCTGCCTCCTCCTTTAGCTTGCTGGCATTACAGGTGTGACCCACCATTCCCAGTTTGCGCTGTGACAGGGATCAAACTCAGTCACAGTGCATGCTAGGCAAGCACTCTACCAACATTCATTCTTCTCCTCTACTAGACATAAAGTTTTAACAGATACCAGCTACAGTTAGTAGACAGTCTCAAGTAGCTGTCTATTTCGCTGCTTTATTTGTAAGATAATTTAAGAGCTCTGGCTACCTAGAAAGGTGATGATTAAATGAAATACTGCACAGTGAAAAACTGAAGAAATGCCATTAATTCTTTTTACAACTTTACGAATAGCTAGCTTGTTAGGTTATTTTAAAAGTTAGGCAAATTCCCTACAAGAAAGATGCCCTTAGAGATCAATGAAGATGCCGATTTCAGTAAGTCCATCGCACACTAAGCTCACTTATTAGGCAGAAACTTTTTCCACTATCTTGGCTGTTAGCTCATAGGCGAGTATAAAATCACTGGAAAAGTCTAGAAGGCATCATTCCATCAGAACACGCCCACGGTGAACGTTCAGGGTATAGGCTCTGAGCGTCTGCCCCGTGGGGAAATAAGTGTTAAGGATACGACGGAAAGTGTAATTCAATCAATTGCAATGTCGGGGTTCTGGCCTTCGTGACCTTCAGCAAAGCATTAATATCCTCGCCTGGGTCTCCGGTCCTCTCTCCGCTTTTCCTTACTCCCAGGACTTACTAGAGCGCTCGAGGCAAACCAGCGGGAAACGCAGTCCAATCCCAAGCCCAGAGCCCTGTCACCCCGACGCGGAAAGGAAGCGAGCGCTTGCGGTGTCGCACGACCGGAGGCAACTTTTCCGCGTCAAGCGGCGCGGGTCCCGGGGGTTCGAGCCCTTCACCGCCCGGCAGGTGCTCAGCTCAGGAGCCGGGGCCACTCGCACGGGGACCGCGGAATCAGACGAGTCTCCGCGGGCCGGCCGGCCGCGCCGCCACCGAGCGCAGCCCCGAAGCCCCGCGTGCCCGCCCCGCCCCCGGCGGCTCCGACTCCAGCGCCCGGG